CGGAGAAATTAAAGTGACCGAGAGGGTCAAGATTCCGTTCAACATTGGTAGGTACCAAGACGAAGTCCTTTGCGACATTGTACCTATGCAAGCCGGTCATATCCTTTTAGGACGACCATGGCAATTTGATAGAGAGGTGATACATGACGGACGAGTCAACCAATATTCCTTTGTTCATAACAAAAGGAAGGTTGTATTAGCACGTCTTAGTCCATCTCAGGTGCATGAGATGCAGCTCAAACTAGCTAAAGAAAGCGAGTCAAAGAAGGCTAATTTCTATCTCACAGCTAGTCAAGTCGGTAAGGCTATTCGACAAGAACGAAATGTCCTTCTTTTAGTCTTCAAGGACCTCATGAGCATAAGGACCGAAACGTCCCATGATAGCCCTTCTATAAGCCGACTTCTTGAGCAGTTTAAGGACATTTTTCCCGACGAAATACCGGTTGGCCTCCCCCCGATACGAGGGATAGAGCACCAAATTGATCTAGTACCCGGTGCACCTTTGCCTAACCGACCAGCCTATAGGATGAACCCCGAGGAAACTAAAGAGCTCGAAAAGCAAATCCAAGAGCTCATGAGCAAAGGTTACATCCGAGAAAGCCTTAGTCCATGTGTTGTTCCGGTACTTTTAGTGCCAAAGAAAGATGGAACTTGGCGCATGTGTGTGGATTGCCGAGCGATAAACAATATAACGGTTAAGTATAGGCATCCCATACCTAGGCTAGACGATATGCTTGATGAGTTGAGTGGAGCCACAATCTTTTCGAAGATCGATCTAAAGAGTGGTTATCATCAAGTAAGGATGAGAGAAGGCGACGAGTGGAAAACCGCCTTCAAGACCAAGCAAGGTCTTTATGAATGGCTTGTTATGCCTTTCGGGCTAACTAATGCCCCGAGCACATTCATGCGGCTCATGAACCATGTCCTGAGAGCCTTCATAGGAAAGTTCGTGGTGGTGTACTTTGATGACATCCTCATTTATAGTAGAAGCGAAGAGGACCATGTTTCCCACCTCGAACAAGTAATGGCCACACTTAGAACAGAAAGCCTATATGCGACGAAATCGTATTCTTAGGCTTCGTGGTCAGCTCAAAGGGGTTAAGAGTCGACGAGGAAAAAATCAAAGCCATTAGAGATTGGCCGACTCCTACCACGATAGGACAAGTGCGTAGTTTTCACGGTTTGGCTAGTTTCTACCGACGATTTGTGCGAGACTTTAGTAGTCTAGCAGCTCCCCTTACCGCGGTCATAAAGAAGGACGTGACATTCGAATGAGGAGAAGCACAAGAGAAAGCCTTTAAAGTTCTAAAGGACAGCCTCACTAGCGCACCCATCTTAGTTCTCCCGAACTTCGACAAAACCTTTGAGATAGAGTGCGACGCATCGGGGATTGGCATAGGAGCTGTCCTAATGCAAGAAAAGAGGCCCGTAGCGTATTTTAGTGAGAAACTCAGCGGGGCCACCCTTAATTATCCCACATACGATAAGGAGTTATACGCTTTGGTAAGAGCTTTAGAGACTTGGCAACATTACTTGTTGGCTAAGGAATTCGTGGTGCATTCGGATCACGAAACATTGAAACACCTTAAGGGGCAGACCACACTTAAGCGAAGACATGCTAAGTGCTTGGAGTTCATCGAGACATTCCCTTACATCATAAAATACAAAAAGGGAAAAGACAATGTCGTAGCCGACGCATTATCTCGACGACATGTTTTGATATCAGTCATGGAGGTTCGGATGCTAGGATTTGAAATCCTTAAGGAGCAGTATTCGACCGATCACGATTTCAAATCCATCATAGAAGAATGTAGGAATGGTGCTTATGGACCATTTTACTTACATGATGGATATCTCTTTCGAGATAAGAGGTTATGCATCCCGCAAGGATCGATGCGAGATATGATACTCCGTGAGGCTCATGATGGTGCCTTAGCTGGACATTTCGGAGTAGATAAGACGTTGTCCATCGTACAAGAGCATTTCTTTTGGCCGCACCTTAAGCGAGACGTTAGGAGGTTTTGTGCTAAGTATGTCGAGTGCCACCGAGCTAAGTCAAAAGTACAACCTCATGGACTTTATATGCCGTTACCAATCCCTACACAGCCATGGATAGACATATCAATGGATTTTGTCCTAGGACTTCCTAAGATCCAACATAAGGACTCCATCTTTGTAGTGGTCGATCGGTTTTCCAAAATGGCTCATTTCATTCCGTGTGCTAAAACGGACGATGCCAAGCACATAGCCGACCTATTCTTTAAGGAGGTCGTAAGGCTACATGGTATTCCTAAGACAATAGTGTCCGATCGGGATTCTAAATTCCTTAGCCATTTCTAGCGGACCTTATGGAAAAGGATCGGCACTAAGCTCGTCTTCTCGACTACTTGTCATCCACAGACGGATGGACAAACCGAGGTCGTGAATCGTACCTTGTCTACACTCCTGCGCGCCACCATCGGTAAAAATCTAGGCAATTAGGTTGACTGCATTCCACACTCGAGTTCGCCTATAATCGGGCCTCACACTCCGCGACTAAGCATTCGCCATTTGAGACCGTCTACAGTTTCAACCCAATCACGCCTATGGACCTTCTAGCACTACCCAACGATGAGTTAGTAAACTTAGATGGAGAAAAGAAAGCTGAGTTCATTAAGCAACTCCATCAGAAGGTCCGGGAAAATATTGCTCGAAGGACGGAGCAATACATCCGTCAAGCTAACAAAGGCCGGAAAGCAATGACGTTTAAGGAGGGAGACTGGGTTTGGCTACACTTTAGGCCCGAGCGTTTTCCTGATAAACGCAAGTCCAAACTTGCGCCCAGAGGAGATGGTCCTTTCCGAGTTATCGAGCGCATCAATGACAACGCCTACCGACTTGAACTTCCAGGTGAGTATAACGTGTCTAGTTCTTTTAACGTTGCTGATTTACTTCCTTTTGATGCAGGTCATGAATTTTTGTGGGCGAAAACTTCTCAAGAGGGAGGGAATGATGAGGACATGGAGACCGGACGCACGGACAAAGAGTTGGAACGCACGGAACGGGAGCAAGATAGCTTGGAGTGCACGGAGCGGGAGCGGGATAGCTTGGAACGCAAGGAGCTGCCTAATGCCGAGCATATCTTCAATAGTGATGGGGAACTTCTAGTTGAGCCAAGGCCAAGGCATACACGCCCAAACCACAGGCCCGATCCACCCCTCACTCGAGCCAAGGCGCGTGCCCTTCGCGAACGCATCACCTTATTCGTCTCCGACATGCTGGACGAACTTCGTTCCAAGGACATGAGCCCAGCCCGTCTTGGAGCAGCCCACGCACGCCACTTATTGAAGATTTCGGTCCATGATATTGCTGAAGAAACACATTAGAATTATGTCATTATCCAACAGCTATATTGTGTACTTAAGAGAGCATTAATTACCTAGCTTGCATGCTTATCTAGCTTTGAATGCTAAGAGCTGTTGGAAATGTTTGAGATTGCTATTTATCCTTGTAAGTTCTCAGAACTCATTACCTAAGAAATCTATTGCCATTTTCGAGCTTAAGCTTGCTGTGTTTGTTGAGTTGTAATCTCCAAACCGTTATCCCCGTTGGTGTGTCCGACGAAGGGCTTCGGTGTGTCCGAGCCAGCTTTCGGTTTGTCCGAAAACCTTTCCTCCTTATCTCCATCTCACCCACTGAATCTTAGCTTGAATTCGAGTGCCTCACAAGGCCGGTGATTGAGCTAACATTCCCATCCCACTCCATCCAACATCCTTAGCTGTGTACACGGCTTTCCCTATTAGACCTCCGAGGTCACACGCCTCAATTGAAATCCTGATAGAATCCAAATTCGGATTAACAACAATATTGGACTCAGATGGTCCAACCATACGACCGACGTCAATATCGTTAATATCCGAGTCAATTCTATCGCTTGGCTCTACACTTATTTGTGGTTCTCGAATCTCATCGAGATCAACCGTGCTCCCACTAACCCTCTTAGCAAAGAACTCTCGTTCTAAGAAGTTCCCATTACAGACAACAAACACTTTGTTATCCGCAGGGAGAAACACGAAGTATCCAATGGTTTCCCGTGGATAACCCATAAATATGCACTTATCGGATTTTGGCGCTAACTTATCAGCGATTTGACGTTTCACGTAAACGTCACATCCCCAAATCCGAAGGTAAGACAAGTTAGGATGCTTCCCACACCATATCTCATATGGAGTCTTGTCAACCGATTTAGACAGACTTCTATTGAGTATATGAGTTGCGGTTTCTAGTGCGTATCCCCAGAAGGAAGATGGAAGATCGACCTGACTCATCATCGACCGAACCATGTCCAACAAGGTACGATTCCTCCTCTCAGATACACCGTTACGCTGTGGCGTAGCAGGAGGAGATAATTGCGAAATAATTCCGCATTCCGATAGATAGTCAGTAAAAGCTTGGCTCATATATTTACCTCCACGATCAGATCGCAAGGTTATAATTGTCTTGCCGAGCTGGTTTTTGTACTTCATTCCGAAATGCCTTGAACATTTCAAGCGTTTCAGATTTGTGATGCATCAGGTACACAAACCCGAATCTACTGAAATCGTCAGTAAATATCACAAAGTACAGATAGCCTCCTCTAGCGAGCGTTCTCATAGGACCACATACATCTGAATGTACAAGATCGAGAAGCTCTATAGCCCGAGAAGCTTTTCCCGAAAAAGGTTGCTTTGTCGTTTTTCCCATAAGGCAAGACTCGCATTTCTCGAACGATTCGAAATCGAACGAATCCAACAAACCAATCGAATGGAGTTGGGAAACACATTTCTCACCAATATGGCCTAAACGACAGTGTCAGAGAAAAGTTGGGTTTAAATCGTTAGATTTAAACCGTTTAGTAGATACGTTATAAATCACACGTTCACTTGCATCATTACAATCGAGAATATACAATCCATTAAACGAGTAACCATTACCGTAATAAATACTGGATTTGAATATCGAAAATATTCTATTCTCAATTATAAATTTAAAACCATCAGCATCCAGACATGAAACGGAAATAATATTTCTGCTTATTGCAGGTACAGCGTAACAGTTACGAAGTTCCAAAACAAGTCCAGAGGGTAAAAGTATGTCAACATTCCCAACGACAACAACATCAACTTTTGCTCCATTTCCGACAAGAAGCTCGACTTCACCCTTTGCCAATGATCTACTTCTTCGCATCGCCTGCACATTTCCACAAATGTGAGATGCACACCCAGTGTCTAACACCCAGGAAGAAGAAGTACACAAGTGCGATTCAATAACATATATACCTGAAGTTGAAGCATTTGAATGCTTCTTCTTCTTCAGATCTTCCAGATAGGCAGGGCAGTTACGCCTCCAATGCCCCGGTTTGCCACAATGATGGCAATCACCTTCTTTTGGTTTCGGCAAGCGCCTTTTCGCAACGTTTGCGGATTGGTCAGAAACCTTATCCTTGTTTCGTCCTCTCTTTGGTGAACTTTTTCCCGAAACAATGAGAATCTCCTTTTCGGATGCGAGATCAGACTCGGTCGATTTGAGCATGCCGTGAAGCTCCATCACGGACTTGTTCATCCCATGCATGTTATAGTTCATTCGGAACTGCTTGTACCCATCATGCAGGGAGTGGAGGATGATTTCGGTCACAGCCTTTGGCGGGAACACCATCTCGTACTGCTCGAGCTTCTCAAAATATTCTTTCATTTTGAGAACGTGAGGTCCTACAGGAGAACCTCGTGCCAGACGGCAAACAAGCAATGTAGCAAGAGTGTTATACTGATCAATATCAGCATTCGCCTCGAACACCGATTTCAGTTCCTGAAGGATCTCGAACGAGTTGACCTTGCTGAACCGTTTCGACAAGTCAAAGTTCATGGATCCCAACATCAAGCAAGAGACATCGACGTTGTCCCACACATGCCGTTGATAAGCGTCTTTCACGCTTTTCTCGGCTTTATCATCTGGTTCCTTTGTCGGGAAAGGTTGCTCAAGGACATACTCTTTGCCTTCTTGATTGAGGACAATCCTCAAGGTATGCAACCATTCTTGAAAATTGTTCCCAGACAACCGATCACGCTCCATCAGGGAACGAATGAAGGAACTCAAGCTAGATGAGGATGGGTTTGTGGGAGTGTTGTTAGCCATTGATTCTACATAATAGGATATGCAACTAATTAGAACTATTCTAACGGGGACAGACGAACATATTTCAAATTTTATCACTAAGAAATAACCCTCAAAATATTTCTAGTGATGGATAAGGTCCATATTTCACATAACAGTCGTGTCTGCTGAGCAAATTATCCCACGACGAATTATGTTATTTAGGTAGACTTATCAAATCAATCATGTCAAACATGACCCCTAATGAGTTTTAAAGCATGTTCAAACTCATCTTATACCATTAGGCCGGAATTGTTCCTATAGCCTAACTAAACCCGAACCACGTTCCTACGTAAGTGAACCACCATTTCACTATCTTGCCTTCTAAAGATAATCCGACACGTCTGCTGAGCAAATTATCTCGTGACACGGACGATCGATAGTTTGACAAGTGTCATACTAGTGGGCGGTATAAGGGTTTAAATTATTACGAGAGGTTTTATATCAAAGTGTCGACTCATCGACTGAAAACATATTTTCATTTCATTCCAAATTCATTTTGGTGTCGTTAATGATAGTCCAACTATATTAACATTTAATCGTACTCATGCAAACCCGAATTCATGCATAATTCTAAATTATGTTCTCTGAATTTAAAATTCCGACTTAAAACGTCAACACGTATTACGATGTGAACTAGGCTCTGATACCACTGAAGGAAAACGAAGAGCCTAACGATCTAATCGTAGCTATAATTTCTGTCTAGGTTTATGTGCAGCGGAATAATTACATACAACAATTGCATGAATTTAAACCTAGACTAGCCAGATCATCGTAATATGTGTGGTAAAACGTACATTCAAATGCAGAAACGGAGAGGCAGTATGCTAGTACCCTCGGAATTCGTCGGTTTAGGCAATACGAGACTTTTTGTATTCCAACTCGGGAACTTTTCTTTTGTCGGGTTTTATGTTTATGTTGTTTTCCGATGATTTCTGAACTGACATCTGATGTCAATTTACAGAAATCTCAAAGCAAACGAAGAGTCAAGTTCATTTAATAGGTTTTAGAATACGAAGAGATAGATTTATCTTCATTAAATAAGTTCATATGAACCTTATTTAATGAATGTATTACGTCATACGAAATGAATCTCGTATTCTGAAAATGTATCACATACACCGAGACTAATCTCATGAATATAAACTGACAAAATAACCGAGCAATAAATAGGGCCGGGAAAAAAAATCCCCGAGCCTATAACCGACATATATCAAATATATAAATCCGGTATAACCCTATGTGTGTGGTCCGGTAGGCCCCGTTTAACGTGGTTGTAACAACAAAATCTTATTTTACCGTACACGTTGATAGTGGTCTCTAGCAAAGACATATCAACTACACACGTTAAACCGAGTTATTACCTCGATTGTGCCTACAATATCATCGAACTAATATCCCTTTGTCTCGCGATATATTACCAGTCGAACGTAAGACATGGTGTCAATCAACCTTAACCAATTCGACCGCTTTCTCGTCCATTAATCATCTGTTAATATAGATGTCCAACATCTATGGCTTGGCCAAGCACTTTACAGCATGATTAACCACCGAGTGGCCAATGATATCTATCCCGTAATCAGGAGAAACAAATTCCCATCTTGATACGCTACGACGCACCACGTAATCCGTTGCGCATTTGAGCATAGCCTTTTATAACGACCGTGTTAAGGTGACGTTTGACTATGTCAAGACACAAAACAAATTACGGGGAATACCAATAGGTATCTCAGATCAAAGGACAAAAGTGAGATATTATAATGACGTCGGTTTTGATTCATGACCATGAATTGACCATCATGTGGGTCAACCAGTCACACGTTCCAAACGTGCACCTGTGACTGTAGCACGTATCCAATACGTCATACATACACGTCACACTAGTCTTCATTTATTATTGTTTCCACGATAATAACTGAGTAGGACATATAGTATTATTCCAAATAATACAGGGATATTGTTTATTATTAATGAACATGCAAATATAATAATAAACGAATAATCATATTATTTCATAAACATTTATTACAAATGTACATCTATTCATCTACGTATGAGCATAACTACAACAGGAGGATCTACTAAGATCCAAGTGTTGTTACTCATGATAGAGTCCATCTCATCATTTATCGCTTCTTTCCAGAACGCGATATCTTTCGATCTCATCGCCTCATCATACGTCCTAGGATCTCCCTTGATATTATATGTATAAGCGAGCTGAGTCACGATTGACTCATTAGTACCTTCCACCAGGTACATCTGAAAGTCCGGACCATAGGACTTTGCTTTCCTAATACGTTTACCTCTACGAGGTTCACTTGGTCCATCCTCTTGATCGATTGTTCGATCACTCAGACTAGGTACGGAACTAAGTGGTTTATCCACCGAAGAAAAACGACTTTCGTTGAACAATGCATCTCTTGATTCTATGACTGTGTGAATGACTATATAGTCATTTGGTTCTATGACATAGAACCTATAGGCTTTGCTATGTAAAGCATAACCTATGAAGATACATTCAATTCCTCTATCTCCCAAAGTTTTTTGCTTTGGTTCTGGGACTTTTACTATCGCCCGACATCCCCAAATCCGAAAATAATTCAGATTCGGTTTTCGCTTGTACCAAAGTTCATATGGGGTTACCTTGTTCCTTTTAGATGGAACTCGGTTCAGAATATAGCAAGCCGTTAACATGGCTTCACCCCAAAAACCCTCACTTGGACCCGAGTATGAAAGCATGGAATTAACCATTTCTTTCAAGACCCTATTTTTCCTTTCCGTTACACCATTTTGTTGCAGTGTGTAAGGTGCGGTAGTCTCATGAATCACTCCTACAGATTCAAAATACGTGGGATCATAGTATTCCCCTCCCCTATCGGTCCTAAGCTTCTTTAGCTTAACCCCGAGTTGTAACTCAACCTCGGATTTATACGATCTAAACCTATCAAGAGCTTCATCTTTTGAATGCAACAAGAACACATAGCAAAACCGAGTAGCATCTTCTATGAATGTTACTACGTACTTCTTATTTCCTAAAGACGGTGTACTATGCAAGTCACATAGATCACTATGTACTAGTTCCAACATTTCTGAACTTCGTTCTATGCTAGAAAAAGAATGACATGTTATTTTTGTTTTCATGCATGTAATACATTTTTCATCATTCAACGTGCATGGTGGAATTAAATCCATTTTCGACATAAGATTAACACGTTTGTAATGAACATGTCCTAGTCTAGCGTGTCACAACACAGAAACATCGAAATCGTCAACAACAAACAAAGAAGAAGTAATAACTTTATTAATACTAAGTTTGAACATATCATTACATAGATATCCTTGTCCCACAAACACTTTTCCTTTCGAAAGGATAAACTTATCGGCCTCAAATACCATTTTAAACCTGAACCGATTGAGTACACAACCCGACACTAAGTTCCTTCGAACATCCGGAACATACAATACATCCCTAAGTGTTAAAGACTTCCCGGACGTAAGTACAACTCTACTTGTCCAATGCCTTGGACTTTTGCCGTAGAGTCGTTTCCCATGTAAAGAATGCTTCCTTCTTCAACGACTTTGAAGGCCTTGAAGAGTCCACGATCCTTACATATGTGTCGAGTTGCACCCTAATCGATCCACCAATATTGGTCACCATCCTGAACAAGAAACTCTCCACAAAACTCATAATAGAATTTGTCAAGAAACAATCGTTCTTACCTTGAGTGGGTTGGTCGAGGTCTTTCCCTTGACCATCTGCACTCTTCTTCCCGTGTTTCTTCTTCTACGAGTAGCAATCCCGTTTGAAATGACCCGGTTTGTTACAAAACCAACAAGCCGCATCTGACTTTGTCTTCTTCTTGGGATTACCTTTAGAGGGTTTCTTGTTTTGCCTTTTGGCCCCGCGTTTCTCTTCTTCTACCACATTAACCGTGGATGGAGGAGAAACACCTTTACCATCTTGCATTCGGAGGTCCTCCTCTATGCGAAGATGTGTTCCCAATTGCTCAAGGGTCATGTCCTCTTTTCGGTGCTTTAGGGAACGTTTGACATCCTTCCACTTCGGTGGAAGTTTATCAACAATGGAGGAAACCTTTATGGCTTCATCCATCTGTAGTTTGTGTTGTGTAAATTGACTTAAGATCCTCTGTAGTTCATGGAATTGTTCCATAATCGATCTCGAGTCATCCATCTTGTAAGAATTAAAACTACTTACAAGAAATCTCTTTTTGGAGGCATCGCCCGAGACGTATTTAGCCTCCAACGATTCCCATAGGGATTTCGTCGTGTCTATGTGTTGATATACATCAAAGAGTTTGTCTGACATACCGTTGAGAATATGACCGCAACACACGTAGTTGTCGTTGTCCCATTTGTTTCGTATACATGCCTGCACCAAAGTTTCATCTTCGGTCTCTTCCGGTCTGGGTGTGCTGATGACGTAGATGACTTTCAGCGTTGTCAACAAGAAGTGCATCTTCTTCTGCCACCGCCTGCAGCCCACGCCCTCGAACTTGTCGAGTTTGTGAAAGTTTGTAGCCAAATCCCTCATAGAAGATGTCATCCTCGAATGGATAACGGTTTTAGATTGTTGATAAATCTGGAGGAAAACAACGGAAAAAGAGGAATGAAATCGAAACCGAGGGACCAGATTTCTCTTCAAGGCGTGTAGACACTTTCCTAAAACTGTTATTCCGTCCGTTACGAGCAAGGAATACCTGAATACGATTCTGAGATACAATGAAGAGAAATACATTCTAGAATTGCTCGTTCAAGAATGCCCATACAAGAAAACGTGAAAAGAAGATGAACAAAAGCTTTCGGGAGAGTTTTTGCAAGAAACTTCCGAAAGTGCTCTCAAAATCTCTCAAATTTTGAATTCAATCCATACTCAACTTATTCTGACGTGTTTAGTATATAAACACCAAAGAACATCACTAAAAGTTGCAAAATCTGCAGTTTTCACGCGAAGAATCGCATCAGTTCGTGTTTCTGCAAACTGACACGGTCTGAGTTGCTTCTGACTCGGGCCGAGTTACTTCTAACACAGTTCGAGTTACTTCTGACTCGGGCCCTGTTAACTTTCTGAGCAAAACACGAATTTCTCACAGACTTGTAACTCGGTCCGAATTACAACTGACTTGAACTGAGGTACTACTGACGTGGTCCGAGTTACTTCCAATCCGGGCTGTGTCAAATTTCTGTACAAAATGAGTTTTTCTTCAGAAAAGTAACACAGAACGTGTCAAATCTAACAGGAACCGAGTTACATTTCTGTAAAGGAAAATCCGTTTTAGTCATGTAGACTGAGTTCTACTCCACTCGGGTTGAGGTGTACCTCACTCACGAGCCGAACAACTTTACTGCCAAACACATATGTGTTTCACCGATCCATATTATATCATTTATGAATATTTAACTCCTCCACCATATCCGTAATACATATAATTGTGAATCTCTTGAGAGATTATTAACAAACCCCATTCATTTACTCTAAAAATTACAACACGAGATCAGGCGGCCCAAACCGTCCGAGATTGAGATGGTTCGAGAAAGTTCGAGACAAGGCACAGAAGCCGCGTACGGGAGCATCCAAAACGTTCTAGAGAATTCCGGACAAATCGGGAATCGGGAAGATGTAGAGATTTCTAGAAGTTTTGAGAGACTCTGCGAGCGTGTCTGAGACAGACCGGACGAGAGAGACCGAGAAACTTCTAGAGCGTTCGGACAACCGATGTGAGACCGACCTCTGAGAAGGTTCTAGATGGACACATGGCGCAATCTGGACCGTCCACTCGAATAAATCTCGGTCGTCCATTAAGTCGGCTTGTAAAGTTGGCTCATGTATAAATAGAGTAGGAGAGTTGCATGGGGAGGCCATTCGAAGCTGGACAAAGTTCCCAAAACACGTCCCTTGTAATCCGATCTTTTGTATGAACGTTTTCATTAATAACGCCCGATTCTCTAAAATTCTCGATCCAAAAGGCTTACTCGCTACAAATGGAATTATACGAGTGTCGCACGGATAGTTCGTGAAATAACTAACTCCGTGACAGGTGGTATCAGAGTGCGGTCGTATTTGGGATACCAAGCCAGTGTATCGAGACATGCGAGTGAATCGGCTGAAGTGACTGTTATTGCGGAGCAACAGGTGGAACAAGAGGAACAACCTTAGGGATGAGAGCCGACTCATGCTCCGTCTAAATGTGGGAAGTCGAAGGCTAAGGAGAGAGCCTCTCCCAGTGGCCCGATGGAGCGTCGGATCATTTCCCTCGAGAAGTTTGCCTCTTCTCATGAGACCTGGGTGAGCGAGCTTGTCATCCGGATGGAGGAGCTCAACCAGGAAAATGATGTCGTGAAGGAAGGCACCAAGGATTTAGTCCTCTTCTGGCAATCAATTTGAGCTCGGTGCTTAGACAACCAATCCATGCCCAGTATGATGTCATAACCACAAATCGGCACCACGATGAGGTTGGAGCCTGTGATGTACAATGGCATATGCAGTGCTCCAGTGGTCGAAAACTTCCTCTTCGGCCTTGACCAGTATTTCGGTGCCATGAGAGTTTTCGACGATGTTTCGAAGATCAATAGTGCCTCGACCTTCCTTCGTGATGTTGCGCAGTTGTGGTGGCGAATGAAGTGTACTGATCGAGAAAAAAGACTCAACGCCATTCAGAGTTGGGATCAGTTCAAGTCGAAACTGCAGAAACATTTCGTCCCACACAATGCAGAGAATGAAGCCAAGGGGAAACTACGTCGATTGCGACAGAGTGGAAGTATCCGCGATTACATCAAGGAGTTCACTACACTTATGTTGGAGATCGATGACTTGACGGAAAAGGACGCACTTTTCCACTTTTAGGACGGACTGAAGGATTGGGCCAAGGTTGAGCTCTAGCGACGCGGTTCGCAGACGTTGGATGATGCGAAAATCGTGGTCGAATCGTTGCCCGACTACTCGGCCCAAGCTAAGACCAAGAAAGCTGACCCGAGCAAGAGTGGGGGAGAACGGAATGTCCCAAAGGACCACAGTCGCAAAGAGGTGGTGTTGGGTTTCTTGGGATCTCAAGAGCGAATCTAATTCCTAAGAGATCAGTTCTAGGGTTTGCGCAGCGGATGTAAAACAAAATTTTGATGAAACCCTAAAACCTATCATGCATGATCTTGTAGAAACGTTAGAACGCTTACCTCAATCGATCTTGGGCCTGTATCAATTGATATGTTCATCCGATCACGTAAGGCAGGTAGAATACGGCAGAAAGGATTCCAACGGTTGGAACTTGTCTGCTAGGACTGAAGAACACGTTCTTCTTTGCGCAAAGGTTTCAGGGATCTAACTCTTAGGTTTTCAACTCTCAAAAACTCCCCAAAGGGTCTGAAAGTCGTGCCTAGAGGCTTCGGAGGCGTTCCCTAAAGTTTTTGCCACTTAAAACCCTAATTAGAGCGAGTTTAGTAAATCCCGACGTCTGGACCGATCGGTCTGGAGCTTTTTACGTGTGGACCGATCGGTCCATGGTTCCGGACCGATCGGTCTGGAACATTTTCCGGACCGAGCAACATTTGCATGTTACCTCTGAACCGACCTGTGACACCCGAATCCCGTTGGTAAGTCCTCCCCCCTTGGTTCTGGTCCCCCTGCTGGTGGTGGAGGCGGAATATGAGCCCGCAACGTTTGCATCATCGCCTCTTGGAACACACGCAGCTCGTTCCTCATCTCTTCTTGGAACTCCCTGAACCTATCAGTACGGGGGTCATGGTTGGGTACGCTGTTGTCTCCCATGATTGACCGAGTGCGTCGTGGTGCCATTTCACTGCATCACGTAGTTGTACTTAGCAAACGACGACGAGTAGAACGTCATTATGTACGGCATTTTGTAAAACAGTTTTCTTTTAAAACGACTATCGAAAAACATTTTTCAGCGTGAAAACCTTAAGGGTATGAGTCATTCTTTCCCATGGATAGAACGTTGCTCTGATACCAAAAGTTGTGACACCCGAATCCCG